TATCGGCGCCTAATTAGACACACACGAGTGAAAGGTGTCGTAGAAACAAAGGAAGGAACGCACGGTGAAATACAAACGCTCAAGGTGGTAACTAATGTAGTTGTCATTGGTCGAGCTGCGCATTATGTCACAATGAGGAAAGAGAAAAATGAGAATGGCGATGGTATCGAGGCTGCATACTGTGGTACACCGGAATTCGGGCTCAGAAGATCCAGCTATCAGTTTCAGAGTCAACGCGATTATGCGCTCGCCATACCACAGAAGAACCCAATTTGGAATCTTGTGCGTCAGAGTCAGACTGGTAGGAAGGTTTCATAGGTGGATGTAAGACGGTGCTGAAAGTAAAATAATGTGAACGTACGGCACGATGGGCCCAATGAGCGAAGAAACCATATTCAGCTCGTTTATATCAGCGAGAAGCGTGCTGTCGTCGAAGAAGGTTTTCAAGCAGGAAATACTCCAAAACAGGGAATGTGATGTCCTCAAATCAATATGACGTGACAATGACGCTATATGTACATGTATGTCGCCCACTAAAACCTTCAGTACGGCTTCAGAAATCTCTCGAAACCATGGATCTTGGATGCAACACATGAGAAGCTGTATTGGATCTTCATACAAGTAAGGTGGTTGTCGGTGATATTGTCTGTTATGGGTTGGTGGGCTGGATGAAATGATGTGATATCGCGCCGCTGATAATGCCACATCCTCCCTAAGACTACCCACACCTGTTGTCGAATTCGAAGGGGATAGGTGGGTCTAGAAAGACGCGAGTATTTTGAATGAATTCAATGATTGACACTGTTGTGTCCCCACCTCAACAAATCAATGGTCTCTTGAACGCTGTAAACCTACCTTCGGCAACCTTGGGTATATCGTGGAAAACATCTGCCATGTGTGTCAACTGTCAGTAGAGGAGCTCACTCTGATCAGAGGTTGCATTGAATCCTGTTGAAATAGGCTCGTGCACTCTAATCCTATGTCAAGTCTATATCAAGTCTATGTCAAGCTTACATGGCCATACCAGGATGTGTTGTCTCTGACGTGTATACTAATGGTTGAAGCTTATATTAGCGACAACCTATTGAACTGCTACAGTTGCTATCCCATACCTCCGTCGAACCATTACGTGTATCAACTGAGGTATGTAACTACTGTTACTTTCATGATGTGTTATTTAACTAAAGCCTACTGTAGCGTATTTCGTTACAAATTCTGGGTACAACTGTGCGTCGCGACATCACATCAGTTCATCCTGCCCTACCACACTGCAACAGACAAAATTACCCACACCGACTTTCCTTTTGTGGAACTCCTATACTGCTTCTCGTGTGTTGCATCCACCAAGATGCCTGGTTTCGAGATATTGCTGGAGATGTATTGAAGGTTATAGTGGAAGACACAAACCTCCATATAGCATCATTGTCACTTCATATCGATGAGGACACGGTATATTCACTGTGGCATGATATCTGGGCCCTGAAGAGCTTCTTCGACGACAGCACACTTCACACGGATCACATCAACCAGCTGAATGTGGTTTCTTCGCTCATTGAGCCCCTCCTAAGGTATGTTAAGAATGTTTTACCTTCCAGCATTATCTTATATCCGCCCATGAAAACATCCTACCAGTCTAATTCTGACGCACATGAGTGCGTCCTCTGCTCAGGCGAAAGGTTAATTGAGGTCACTCTGAAGCTGATAGCTAGATCTTCCGACATTGAATCCGCATGTACCACAGTGCACAACCTCGATATAATCACTATTCTTGCTCTTCCACATTGTGGTGCGATGCACGGCTCAATCAACAATCAATACCTCGGTCACTGCCTTGCGTGAGTAACCCTCGCGGCTGATCCCTTCCTCTGCCGGTGTGTGCATAACATCTAATTCAAACTTCAAATCAGTGTTGGAGGACCATGACTGGCCTGTTGATGCTCTTGTTCCATCATTCTGCACGCATAATTTCTGTTGGATAACACTGATACATTATCCGAACCAGGAAGAAGGAGAGTACTATTACTCTTTACTTAACTCATCATTTGGCAATATTTCTCATTTATGTAAAGCTCCGTAGTTTGAGCCAATTCAAGAGCGCATATAGTCACCTTTTACCCCATTTGTATGCTTGGCAGCTTCTCGTTGATGCTACACATACATTGCATATATTGGTGGGCTGTAGTAGTAGTGGCTAGAATCACCTCTGATTTATCAACGAGAATCATTTCAAATAGAATACCACTCGGAGGTCTCAAAGAAAGCAGAATGTCAGTTAGTTGGGATAGCACGAAGCAAGTCCTTTAAGAACAGCAAGCAACACCCGCAGCAATCACTCATTAATCCATGCCGACATTTACCTCAGCCAAATTAATCTAATCTTCAAAATCTATGTTCAATGTCTGGATCGGCTATCATGAAGCACAAAACTCTGGAATAAAAGGAGGGGCCTTTAAAATGTACAGGGACAGCATTGTGTAATCCCAGCTGTCTTACCACATACTTTACCACCACAAACTTCATCACTGATACACTATTGTTCCACTCAATCACTCACTCCTTCTTTTGTTCCCCTGATCTCGTTGAGATCTTTATTTCCCCCTTTTCAACCCCAACCAAGATCTCCATTGGTCTCAGATTCCTTTGTTATTACCGTCCCATTGTTCCCTGTAGAGATATATGAAGCACGCATTAGTTCTCTAGTAGACAGATGTTTTTCCCTTCTCGAGAAGGAATGCTGAACATCTACGACTTGTATTTATCTATACTGCTAAAACAAAGATATCTTGGTCCTGTCCATACTGACTGAGTGAGGTTGACACAGCAACATTTCACATTGTTTTTTGACAATGACTAAAATCTTACCATCATGTCTCACTTACCTCGACACTCACACCTTTACGCACTTGCCCAGACATGAGAAGGAGGCACCAGCTCGGACTACCTTCTCTCCTTGTCAACGTCAACCTCTTTGTGAACACCAGCCTTATCCCATCTCCCTCAACAACTGTGGCAACCTAACCCAGGTCATCAGACATGGACACCAATACTGATACCAAACAAACAAAGCTACTGCTGTACCCCTCGCACTACAAGCTATTTTCAACACCTCTAAAAAAGCAACAAAGCATATCACAACCAGAAACACCCAACTGGAAGCAGAAGTCAAGGTTGGCAAGCTGAAAGAATGCCCAATGCTTACTGCAGGTCAATATGGTCTGTCACTTGTCACTGATACATAAAGTTTGGAGGAAGGAAGCCTGAGGAGATTGTCAGTTCTGTAGCTGATGTGATGATGTAACTGTGACTTATGGCCTGGTACCAAGGAGATAATGCACAAATTGATAGTCTCACCGTGGACCAGTACCTAGAAGAGTTTGCATCTATCACACTTGAGAAAAACTGGGCACATCTAGTTAGGGAGAAGATCCTCATGACCATGCAAGACAACCAAAGATTCATAGATTGGACAATCAAGATGAAGAACCTTAATGCAATCCTCACCACCTCAGCAAAATATTTCATGCAATCAACCACCACCTTGAAGACACCACTTGAAGCAAACCTTGACAAAACCCCTAAGTGTGATCTCCAAGTCAAGCCAGCCCTTTCCACAGAACTCACAGCTTCGGCCAATGAACAAGATGAACAAGTCTGCAAACAACAGGAGATCATCCAAGAACAGATCTTAATAATGCTGCCCAGGCTCTGCATTGCAACAACAAGAAAGACTTGGCCTCCAGACTGTCTGATCCCCCCACCAACTCTGCTTCTAATATGAAGATAACTAGCATTAAACTCCCCAGATTGACTGATGAAGAACAAAGGCTCCTCCCAGACCACAAGGGATGCACATGCTACCATATCTTCTATGCCAGACACCACTCTGATTCATGTCCAATGAAAACCAGCAACTCCTGGCCAAATGCCACAACTTACAAGACACTTATAGTATCAATGGCTCATACAACTGCACCCCACACTCCTTCCAGTCTAGCCATGGCCACCATTGAGGACCATCTTGATACAGCCACTGACATGTACATGTATGTCAATTCCTCTGCTAAACCCCAATCCTCCTGTATGGTCCTGCATCTCTATGCCATAGATCTGACAGGACCTCTCATCTATCCCTTCCCTCTCTTGATACAAGGACTCCTTGACAATGGCTGCCTGTTAGGATTCTTACTTTCAAGCCTCTGCAACTCTGGAAATCCACTGGCATCCTGCCCTCAGTATTCCTGACCATGGTCTCACTGCCCTGCAGCACCCTGCCACTTCATCTACTATACATTACTCTTTTGGTCATTTTGCTCCACTTCCATCCCAACACTCTGTTAGAATTGGAAATACAATATCTAAATGAGTCAGACTGTTATAAGTCCCAGAGTTGCATCAGGAGACTGATATATGTATATATAATCCATCATATGTGTAACACTAGACCATAAGTGTTAGGACCAGGAAACCCACTGGGACCTAGAACTCATAAATATTTGACTCTCTATTTTGCACAAACTAAGCACTGGACTCTTCCTGGACAACCTGGACCCCATTCTATACATGCCGACTCTCTGTATCATACAAGTGATACACTGGACCCAGACATTCCAGACCCTCTTGTTCTCAATCTGTCTTTGCCCATTTGTCATCTAGTTCAGTTTACCACCATGTTTCCCTATTTTTTTGACATCTGGTTTATTGTCTTATTGTACTCTTGATATGTCTTTTTGTATGTCTAAGTTAGTAATACAATAATCTACTACTCTATATAGTCCAGTAGTTATTTGTACATATGATCTGATCAGAAAATTGACTTAGCTTCTACTTGTCTCTTGCACTTTGCGTATTCTCAGAACCCACAGATTTCCCATCTGCTCCTGCTTGAAATTGGACATTGCGATCTGCAAAGGTGCAGCACATAAGCTGAAGTCGAGTCCTTTCCCAGAACTTCTGCAGGTTTCCCCTGGAGACCCACCTGTGAGCCCCACACTTAACAATAAGGTCCAGTACCTTAGTGGTTAAGAGCACCAGCATGTACATACATATAACCAGGAGGTCCTTGCTTCAATCCCAGGCTGGGTCAATTCTTTGTTATACAGTGGGTGAAAAAACTGCCCCAATGTTTGTGCATTTCAGAAAGACTGATATTGTGTGAAGGAATGACATCAGCAAAAGTTCTGAAAAACTCACATGATATACTAGAACATGTTGTCTATCTACCAACTTAAGAAGTCATGTGATTCCAATTAAAACTCATTGCTCAATAAATCAAACAAAATAATCACTCATTGGGGCAGTTTTTTGACCCTCTATTATTTTACAATCTAATACTTTGTATGACCCCCCTTTGCCTTTAAAACTGCCTGTATCCTCCTAGGCATGCTTTCTATTAGCTTCTGGCATGTCTCTGGTGGTATTTCAGTCCACTCCTTTGCCACCCTGTCCCATAATTCATGTACTCCTTTGGGTGGTATGTCATATTGTTGGAGTTTGGCCTTGAGGTGTTGCCAGAGGTGTTCAATGGGATTTAGATCAGGGGATTGGGCAGGCCACTTGATGTTATTGTCAGAAAACCACTGTTCTGCCTTTTTTGAGGTATGTTTTGGATCATTGTCCTGATCATGACAAAGCATAACCCATAACGGGAAATGGAGCGGGAGCAGAGTACAAATTGTGACAGGTCATTTGACTACAATGGGAATGGGGCTCAGTTAGAGCGGTGATGGGATTCTGAGTGGGGTCCGGTGACTGATGTGTGGGACGAAGATGGACATAGACAGAGACGGAGTCTGGGGGAGGTCCGGTGACTGATATGTATTGTAATGAGGTTGAACATAACAAGTCTTGACATACGGAGTCCGGGCGGGAAATCCTATAAACAGACAATTGGTGTGTGTAGGGCGTGGTGGCATACAGGTTAGTGCCCGGAGTCCGGCAGGATTGTCCAGTCGTAACACACAATATCAATCTTTCTAAAATGCACAAACATTGGGGCCATTTTTTGACCCACTGTACCTTTAACACACTCTCCCATTATCCACTCTATGGGTATGCATTACTTGCCACCTCAAACCATTTAGTATTCTTTCCATTATTTTGCATTTAGTTCCTTCCAGTCCCTTGTTCTGTTCTTTTGCTTTCTTTGATCTGTTTAGCTTCTTACCTCTGTGATTGGCCTCCCAATCATCCACCTCACTCTAGTATAAGGCCCCATCTTGTATTCTACTTTTCCTCAGTTTGAAAATCAACTTAGGTTCCCCTACTCTTTACTTAATCCTCAATAAGGAGTCCTTTGGCCAGCTGAGATTCATATCCTCAACTCTTTGTGTTCTGGCCTCCCAGTTGATCTACCTAAGTGATGAGTTCAGTTCTATTGCATACTATTTCCTTGTTTTGAAATACTGGAGCAATCTAACTGTTCATGTGAGGGCACAATACATACATCGAAGTCAAGCTCCACTTGTATTGTAGTTCTGGACCTCCTGGTTGAGTACACACTCACTCTATGGACCCCTAATGTTCTGTCTCCATTAGTCCTTAGACTTAGACCTCAACACTGCCCCTCCACAGTGATTAGTTACACACTAGTATTTCAACTGGGCCTTTGAAAGGCTGCTGTCTAATACAGCCTTACATTGGCATCAGTCCAGACATTGATAGGGCCAAACTATATTCCTCGAGAATGGTGAGTACAATGATGATGGTAAGTAAAAATGATTGTCTAAAAATGATACTACATGCATCTGGGATAGCATAATCAGTATGTCATAAGCCACCAGGCTTACAGCCTTTGTCAATTCTTCTCCCTGCAGAGGAAGACAATTTATTGTTGGTATCAGAAAAGCCTTTGATGTGTAAAAAGGTCATGAAGCTAAGGATTACCTCAGGAAAGGGGATGAGGCAGTCAGCCATGTTTATAGCTAAATAAATATTGGATTACCAGTACCACTTACATACTGTATACTCAGAATGCCATTTTTTCCCTCACACCACATTGTGATTGACACTGCCAACTGTACTGGATGTGATAAAAGCATGAACTATGACCTTGTTGGGCCAAAGAATCCTTAAACAGGACCCAGCTTCAGTGCCCCCATCAGGGTCACCATTACCCCCAAGTCACCACATTCACAAATAGTGTCAATAGAGACAACCTCTGAACCACCTAGCAGGAGACTTACTACCAGTTCCCATCATGGCAGTGGTCTGGGAATGCATCAAAACCCTTGTTTCCCAAGAGATATTAACCAAGAAGGATTCCAAATTCAAAACTTTCTTTGCAGATTGCCCAATACACATCTGCCATTGCATCTGCCTCAAGGATCCTTCCATAGTTATGACTGGACAAGGACACTCTGCTCAAAGAAATTCCATGATTCCTGGAAGCTCCTTCTCAGGAACCATTTTGCTGCATTTAAAACTATGTAAAAACCATTTAAAACCAGGACAAATATGACCATCTTCCTCAGAGTTCACATCAACAGGCTTTTGTGTTCCCAAATACCATAACAGAGTGTTCATTTTTGACATCCCACCATAGTGGGTAAATAACTATCATGAGCTCAATAAGAACACTATATGAGACAATTTCCCCCTTTCCCAAATTGATGATTTTCTCTCAGATTGTGGCTGTGGCATGATTTTTAGACAACTAGACATGGAACACTCCTTTCAGACCAGGGTGAACCCTGATGACATACATACACCTTACAGCCATATGCACCGGGGACTTTACAAATGGACTGTTATGCCCATGGGAGGCTGTAATACACCATCCACCTACCAATAACATATGACTAATTCCCTATAGCACTTATTAGGCAATATTTGTCTTGATGATATCATTATATGGTTTAAAAAACTTGAGGAACATGAGCATACTGTAGCTGCCATTTTACAGACTCTTTGTGCAGTGCAATTGTACTGTAACCCAGACAAGTCCACTCTCTTTGCAATGGACATCTTCTTTAGGCACCACATCTCTGCTGCAGGGATCTACCTAGAATTTTGGGACAAAATGTACCATCAACTGGCCACAGCCAACCAACACCAATATGCAGGGTTTTCTGGGGCTCACACACTATGTTTCCACATTCCTCTCTGCACTGGAAGAACATACCAGTATCCTAACCCCTCACCATGAAGGAATTCAACTGCCAGTTTCCCTGGACCACTGAGCATCAACATGCCTTTGATACCATTAAACAGTTTGTAACAGGTATTGACTGCCTGATGGTGATCAATTACAATAACCCCATGAGCAAGATATTCTTAACCGCAGATGCCAGTGACAGGTACACAGGTGCAGTACTCAACTTTGACAAGGATTGGGTTACAGCATGACTGGTCACATATACCAGCTCAACCAGGCTCAATAAAACTATCCTGTGCATGAAAAGATACTTTTAGCCATCATCAAGGCACTCAAAAATTGGCACACCAGCCTGCTCAGGTGCCATTTTGACATCTACACTGACCATCAGATGCTACAATATTTCCAGTCCCAAAAAGAGATGTCCCACTGTCAAATGCACTGGTCCATGTACCTCACCAATGTTGATTTTGACATTATCTACATCCACAGTGAGCAACTGTTAGATTGAGTAATGCTAGCAGTGCTTCCCAGGGTCAGGTGGTGTAATGGTTAACACCCCTGCTATATATGCAGAAGCCCTGGGTTCAATCCCCAGTCTGGCCATTCATTTTCTACACTTTTAGCAGCAACAGTGTTGCTGATGCCTTGTGACACATGCCCAATTGCCAGCCTGATGCTATGCATGTCACATGTGCATTAGCTTACACCCAATCTCTGCCAAAGGAGCTAGTGGGCAGTACTCAGCATTGCCTTATATAGTAAAAGGTATTTCAGGCCTTTGGCAATAATCTTCCTGATCCTCAAGATTGAGTATACAGTAGATATTAATGCCAGATGAGCAAGACAAATGTCAGCATGGAAGAGTGAATGATTGTTCCTGATGTTCTTTTTATTCTTCAATGATTTACCTCCTGTTATCCCAGGTATCTATGTGGTGACTTCCTTAAGACCTTCCAGTGATATTCTATTTGACGTGATTGTTGTTCATCAACCAGATGTAATTCTAGTGATCAGAAATATATTCAATGTGTATGTATATATGACTATCAATGAGTAGGAGCTTTAGAGCACATGGCAATGGCAAAAGTGACTGTATGTGCTTGAAAGTGCTTCTAACCATGTAGCCTTATTCCCTATAACAGACAGTAAGATATTCACCATGAGCTGCAAAGGGTAGTATATACATATGTTTGAAATCCTTGTTATTTTGAGAGAGTGGACTACATTTGTCATTTATCCCCCAATTATGCAGATTGTTGCTTGTCTCTCTAGCTGGATCTATGCTTATAAATTCAGGTGTACCAGGTGAAACATGTAGTCAAAGGATGATAATATATTATTTATTCCAGATGATATTGAGTCTTTTATACTAAATAAATACTAACTAATTACTAATATTTCTGGGTATGAGATATTGAGTTGATGGCCCCACAACATAGCATTAGTGAGATGCTGACTTGTTGTGATGGAGTCGTCAGGAACCTTTATGTTACGACCCATTCCTGGATACTTCAATATCCGATCCTCGACTTCCGACTATGGAACACCATAGTTCCCATATCTTCCATACTCTTTCCTTTGTTCTGCATTTGGTAATTTGTCCGTTGACAAGTATTCACTCATTTGTTTATTATATTTCTGTTTCGAAATATTGTCTCTCTTATCCGTCTTATTGTGGTCTTAGTTTGTAGTACAATAATGAGAAGACTTATATTAGTTTCCGCGAATTTGTACTTTACTTTAGATCTGATATCAACTTAGTTTCTTATCCCCTCTTCCATCTTTCTGTACGCTTAATATTCAGAACTCTTCAGAACTCTGAATATCCATATCTTCCAGTGTAAGTCCTGTCTTTGAAATTAAGGACTTCCAAGTGTTTGTGTAGAGGTGCAGCACATAAGCTGAAGCCGATGTCCTGACCCTTTCCGATAGTTTCCACATTCTCCAGTGACTTCCAATAGTTCCAGAATAAGTTCCTACATGGCACT